ATGTTGTGTGTGGGCATTTATTGGGAGACTAGAGGTTTCAACCATGACCCCCTAAGGAGCCAGAAGCCCTACATCAAGGAAGACAGTCACCACAAGCACACCCCCAAGGAGGTAACATGTGTTCTCCCTATTAAACTTGATTATCCGTCTGCTTGACAGCCCCCATGCCTCCCCACTTAACCAGAAAACACAATTTATGGGCCTGGGGCATCAGACCTGTCATTTGGTGAGAGGATGCAGCCCAGCCAGGCTGGAGCAGAGGTCTGTGTAAAGAAACTGTGCCCAGCCTGCCAGGCACCCGCCCAGACACTTAGTGCCCTGTTTACCCTGGCCCGCGTGGTTGGCACAGGTGGACCTCTCCAGGGAGCGGCTGGCAACTCTGTCAGCAGACCCACCTGGAAGTCAAAGAGGAGACCAGGACGGCAGCTTTGCAGAGGCAGGAGGGCAGGCAGCACTGTGCCCAGATGCGACACACCAGCACTGTAGTGCATGGCATAGCTGCCTCGAGCTCAGGGCCTCTGGCTACCTGACTAGACAGAGTACCTGCTGGGCCCTCTAAAAGATGTTGTAGCTCTAGGAGGCTGGATGCTGCTTGGCTGATGAGAGCCTAGGTCTTTGGAGTCTTGGTCCAGGGTACCTGACTACCACTGTCTGCCTCTCACTCCCCAGGGGAGGGGTCCACCCTCAGCGCCCGAAAGCACTGTGCCTTGGCTTAATTAAACACACTTGTTGCAACCCTCTGCCCACTAAAGCCAGTGGCTACAGACACACTGTCTTCCTGTTTCTTCACCATATGGACCAAGATTCTGCTCCTCCACCCAGTGAACAATATCCCCCAGCACAGCATCCCCCAGCAGCATGAAGGCTCACAACCCTCAGAAGACACAAGATGCTCATCCAGCACGGCCCGTCCACTATAGCCATGAAACCATCATACCACAGCCCACACCCACATGTCTACTCCTTTGTACCCTCCTGCCAGTGGTACAGCTCTGAAACAGGCGCAAAGGAGGCCAACATGTTTGCCCTGGAGTTCTCCCAGCCTTTTCCCTCCCCAATCTTCCCTCCCACCTTCCCCATTCCCCCTTTCCCCCTTTCCAATTCACTGAGCACCACCCCTTCTTCTCTGTCCCCTGGTGGTCCCCTTCCCAGAGGCTCTCTCTTGTCCATCTCCGAGCCCGTATCAGAATGTGCAAGGCTGCACATCGGGGGTAGCTCCCACTTGACTGGCAGTGAAGTTGGGGGATTGCTCTAGAGGACAGGGAGCAGGAGCTGGAAGTAACTCTGGGCCTCACACCACCCTGTTCCACACCCCCACATCGACTGCCCATCCTCCCCATCCAGGATGAGTCATCCCCACATCTGGAACTGACCCATCTGGAGGACCTCCAGCCTACTCAGGCAGCTCACAGGGGGCACCCCGGCTCCCAACTGTATCTCACCCTGCCCTCTCCTGGCCGTGGGGTCTTGCCTCATACCCCACCCCCACCAAAAGTGGCCTGGTCTCCTAGTATGCAGGCTAGTGTCAGAATGGAGTAAGGGTAAGACACCCAGCCCATAGGGCCTCTCTCAACAGCAGTAAAAGCAGTGGCTCAGTGTCCGTGGCTTGCACAGGCTATGCAAGCCGCTTTGGAAGAGCCCAGGCCCAGGCTGGGAGAGGCAGGAGGCTGGCAGCAAGGAGGCAGCGGTTTGGCTCAGAAGGCAGGGGCAGGCAGAGGGAGTTTATCCTGGCCCGAGGCCCCAAGCCAAACATCCTCCACTAACCTAGCAGACACATCAAAGCCCAAAGGGAAGGGGCCCTTTGGTAGAGGAAACCTGTAGTCCTGGACGCCTGACAACCTGGCTCTGGGCACAGGACCACCCTGTCCCACTCAGCATCAGCAGGCCAGATCAGACTGGAAGCAGCGGTTTGGAGGGGACATTTATATCTAGACTCTCCCCCTGCCTTTGGTGCAGTGAAGGGGACAAAGCCAGCATCAGGTCCTAGCTTTGGACCCTAGAACAGTTTCTTCCTAAACTATATGTGCCTCCCTGGGTCTCCACCCACTCTCCAGGCAGAGAAGGTTGATAGGGGGTCACTTTGCACCCTAGTATTTCATCCACAACTTGGAAGAAAAAAAACATTAAGCTGTGAGGGAAATGATTTCACCCCCAGGCGACCTTGCTCTGCAAAGAACGTTTTTCTACATGGGCATGGGAAGGACGGAGAGGGCAGGGGGCTTTGGAGCTGGTAGGAGAACCCAGCATTGAAAAATAAAAGCTGGAGAAGAATCAGAAGGCGAGAACTGGGCTGCAAGCCACGGGGCCTCTCTGGGGGCCCTGCAGGGGCAGAGGGAGGGGGCCGGGCTGTGAGGTGCTAACACAGGAGCGGGAGGCGTTAACAGGGCCACTGCGGAGAGGGGGATCCTGGAGCCAGCTTGAAGATAAGGAAGCTGGTCTGGGGTGAGGGGCGCGGCCACGTCAGCACAGACGCTGGCTGTGTGCACACAGCACGTGCACACATATGTACTGGGACGCACACGCCGTCACATGTGTGCGTGCACACGCCTGGAGCCAAGTCTGTCCTCAACTGGGAGCCAGATGATGTGGCTGCCTCTCGAAGCCAGGATCGCAGGAAGAATGTGCTCTCCACCCACCCACCTCCTTCCTCCGCCTCTCTCTCTCTCTCTCTCTCTCTCTCTCTCTCTCTCTCTCTCTCTCTCTCTCTCTCTCTCTCTCTCTCTCTCTCTCTCTTGCCTTCCCAGCTTCCTTCCGGGATGTTCCCTGTCCACCCCCGCATCCAGACTTAATCCGACGCCCCAGATCTATCTTTAAGAGGCTCTGCCTTAAATATGTCCCCCTCAGAGGGGCTGCTTTTAGCCCCCAGCTTCTTTGGAGGCTGGGAGGTTCCTGTAAATGTAACCACAAGCTGCTCCCCCCCACACACACATCATGGGTCTGTAAGCCAGATCAACGCACAGACAGGGTACAGTTGAAAAGAGAAGGACCCAGAAATCACAAATTCCTTGCTTCTTTATGGCTTGAGACGCCTATCTCAAGGGATAAACAGTGAGGGCAGAGAAACCATGTACGGGAGGAGGTGGAAGGAGCCCCAAATGGAGTAGATTGGGAACCTCCAGACCCTCAGCCCAGTTTTTGCTCAACCTCTCCAGACTGCATCATGGTGATTCCATTTCATCCACCATTCCAGACAGCTAAAGTCCACTAGTTTCCTCTCCTGCCACACCCCCCCCCAGTTTCTGGAGGGCCTCCCTCAGGTCTGGGCCCCGGAAACCTGCACTTTGGAAGTATAATGGTTCCCAAATGCCGTTTCTTTGTCTCTGTTAAGCCTTGGGGAAGGTGAGCATTAGTAGAGACCCTACAACCCAGTCATTAGGGTAATAAGCTCCCTGCACTGTTAATTATCAGGTGTTTACCCTCCCTCTGCATCTTGGCCTGCAGATTGGCAGCTCTGACTTGGGGTCAACTCCAGATGTCACTTAACCCATCCCTATGTCTACCACTCAGGAAGAAGGGCTAGTGGGCTTCCGTAGTCAAAGGGATGTTGGGAAGGAGACTAAGACCCTGGTCCCACTGGCAGGACCCTGCTGCTCTCTGCTCCTCCTAGAAGGAGGGTCAGCCGTTGCCCACCCCCATACACCCTGAAAGTAGCTCAATTCCTGGGGTATAATCTTGCTAGGAGAAGGGTGCATAAGCTTCAGTATACTATTGGGGGCAGAAAGAAGAGGAAGATACCCCCAGACAAACATCATCAGTTTGAAGCCTCCTAACCCAGGGCCCTTCACCAACGACTTGGAAACAAATTTCTCCTTAGAGAAACCCAACCCTGACCCCGGAGGCTCAGGCTCCAACCAGCTTCCCCTCTGACAACACAGCCTCTGTTTACTTGGAACAAAGCACCATGGGGAATGAAGGCTGAATCAGAGCTGGCTGGTTCCGTGCAGCCTGGTGGGAATATGAGGACATGTCCACACATCTTCAAGAGAGAAGGGAAAGGCCCTTAGAGAGTGGGGAGGACATTGGAGGACTACTCTTCCAAGAAGATCCACGTCTAAGAAGGCTTTCGGGAGGAAGCGATAAGAATTTATTGGGCTTCAGAGAAGTGTGTGGGCAATGTATTCCAGGTGGGAAGTGGCCCAGGCTGAGGCCAGGAGGGAAATGGAGAGTGGGGCGAAGGTCTCTAGTGGGTTGGGCCAGAGAGTGCACACTGGATGAGGGACAGGTATAGGCACCCCCAATTGTCATCCTAATTGGGCTTTATGCAAGTGACAGTTGGAGCCTTGGAAAGTTAGAGAGCAAGAGAGAAACACCAGAGCCAACAGGGAGGCCAAGCTAAAGACCTTACAGAAGATAATGGTGAGGCCCCTAAAGAGCAATGTGGCACTGCGTCTCACAGGGGAGGTGACAACTGTGATTGTCTCCAGTCCCTGAGAGCTCTCCAAAGACCCATGAAGGAATGTGGGAAAGAGTAGAAATCTCTTAGGCCAGACTTGGTGGCACACCCCTTTAATCCCAGCACTCAGGAGACACTGTTAAGCAGATCTCTGTGAGTTCAAGGCCAGCTTGGTGCACATAGTGACAACCAGGGCTCTGCGGAGAGACCCTGCGCCCCCCCACACATACCAAAAAAGGAAAGAAAGGAAGGAAGAGAGAGAGAGAGAGAGAGAGAGAGAGAGAGAGAGAGAGAGAGAAGGAAAGCAAGCCCAGGCTCTGCCCCAGCATCACATCCCACCACATCTGGTAGTGTGCTAGTGGTCAATACCAGTCGTCCTCCCAAGCAGGTCACTGCCCTATCCCTTGTAATTGACTTTTGCTGGGGTGCAGACCATGTACTGAACAGTAGAGGGGGCTGCTGAGCCGGGCATTTAGGGCCAGTAGTGCTGGTTGGTCTCTGGCAGCCCATGTAGAGGGGCAGAGTGAGATTTGCTTTGGAAAGAGGTAAGGCCCTTAATTCCTGGGTACTCCGTTTTGTCACAAACAAAACCAGCTCAGTCAGGCAGTGGTGGCACATGCCTTTAATCTCAGCATTCAGGCAGGTGGATCTCTGTGAGTTTGAGGCCAGCCTGGTGTACAAAGCAAGTTCCAGGACAGCAGGGATGTCTCTAAAAAACACAGCTCATGTTTTTTTGCTACTGCTGTATGCCAGGCACTGAGCAATTGGGGTGGAGGAGGAAGACCTTGCCCAGCTGACCCCGAGGAAGAAGTAGGCTGTACTCTGGTTCGTACAGGATCCCTCAGTGTCACTAAGCAGCTCTTGTCATCTCCTTCACAGTCTCTGTGTGTGTCGCTTTGGTTCTCCTTTTGCAAATGAATAGAGAGAGAGCTTAGGTCGCACACAGCAGACCATAAATGGCATATTGGCTAAGATAGCACAATACTGCCCCTAGAGGCAGAGTCCCAAATACAGGCAAGTATTCTGCCTCCTTGGAAGAAGTCACAGCCCAGTGATACTAGGTGTCTTAGTTGGGCTAGTTTTAGTATTGTGGAGAAGCCAGGAACATTAGGATGAAGTATCAAGGGATGAAACAGTACATCACCTAGCTCTTCCTATCCAGGGTCAACTAGGCAGTTATAGGCAAGGTTTCCCTCCCCGAACCCTCAGCAGAGTGTTTCTCCAAGAGAGCCGTGGCTCCCCTGGCTAAGATGTAGCCACTTGAGCGATGTGGGGGGTCTCACAACCTGCATGATCGAGATTGTGACTCAGCTCCCATGTCCTCTGTGAGTTGACCTTCCTGGCCTCTGGGCTCCAGCTGCCTTCTCTGAGAAAGCGTGGGTGGTCAGCTGACCTCCAGGCCCTTACAGTGAGGCCCTAGAGGGTCCACAGACAAGCAACTCCTTCTTCAGCAACCGGCCCGAAGAAGAGTGAATATGGAGAAGGCATGGGGACTTTACCGCTGCTTGAGAAACCCAGCTGGAATTTGGTGTGAAATCCAGAGAGCTGCAGACTTCAGAAGGTCTCCGGGTCTTCCTGCCTCTGGTTTCCTGAGTGAAAGAATATATCCATGCATGTCTGCATGCACAAGCCACCCTCTCATTGTCAGCTCACTGGGTGGGGATGGGGCCGCTGCCCTTGAACAGGACCCTTGTCTCTCTGAACAAGAACCGCTCTCACCATTGTGGTGATGGCACACGCTTTTAATCCCAGCACTCCCGAGGCAGAGGCAGGCAAATTTCTATGACTTCGAGGCCAGCCTGATCTGCAAAGTGAGTTCCAGGACAACCAGGGCTATACAGAGGGAAACCCTGTCTCAAAAACCAAATCAAAGAACGCAGCTCCCACTAAACTCCGCACTGACTTTGCCTATAGCAATGCTGAACCCTCTAGTCTTAGTGGATGCTGGCAAGGGCCTTGGGCTCTTGTCCTATGCAGGAATTCCCAACTTCCAGTCTCATCCCATCCCAGAAAGGGGCGGAGGGGTCAGGCAATTTGGTGTCATAGAACTGGGAGGCCAGAAGCAACTTCTGGGGACTGACTGGACTCTGCCTGATGAGTCAAGATTAGGGGACCACCTTTCTCCTTTTAGAAGTCGAAGGGCAGAGGGTGGAGCAGCTGTTCTCCAGTGTCAACTCCTGTGACATTGTAAATGTGGGTAGGATCAGATTTGCCGAGTAAAATACCAGACACTTTGAATTTATTTAGTGGGGGGGTCTGTGGTGGCCTTTAATCCCAGCAGTTGGGAGGCAGAGGCAGGCAGGTCTCCAAGTTTGAGGCCAGCCTGGTCTACAAAGTGAGTTCAAGAACATCCAGGGATACACAGAGAAACCTTGTTTTTGTTTGTTTGTTTTTCAAGACTGGGTTTCTCTGTGTAACCTTGGCTGTCCTGGAACTCTCTCTGTGGACTGCTGGCCTTGAACTCACAAAGATCTGCCTGCCTCTATCTCCCAAGTGCTGAGATTAAACGTGTGGGCCACCACCATCTGATTGAGAAACCCTGTCTTGAAAAAAAAATATTTAGGTAACTTTGAATTTCACATAACAAATACATTTTAGAATTATCTAAATGCAACTTTAATTGGGTGCTTTTGTTTTTTCTTTTGGCAACAATAGATCTGGGTCAGGTGGAAATGCTTCATTCCGTCCCTAAGGGCCACTGGTGCTAGCCGCTTCCCAACACCTCCCCCCCCCCACCAACTACTGAGTATGTCCTCTTCCCTGGTGTAATCCTAGAGGGCTCCAAGCCTGGGCAAGTTGACAGGCCGCAGGAAATGAAGAATGATCGGGACATGGATGCTGAGACACTTGGGCTTGGGCAGGGGCAGGTGGGTCAGAAGTCCAAGTTAGCAACAATGTCACCCAAGAGGCAGAAGTGTGAGTGTTGTCCGGAAGTTTCAGCACTCTCCCAAAATGTTCCCCTTTGGCTGGGGGCAGGGGGCACTAGTCAGGCTCCAATATTAACTGCAGGGAGGGGGAGGAGGTGGCAGGAGACAGACTCCCATTTTTCCCTTTGGACTCAGTCACCCCAGATTGCAATTAGAGAGGAGATTCTCTGGGGGCCAGCTCCCAACTGCATTTGGCTTAGTAACGGAAGGTTCTGTTTTTAAGAAGTAGAAAGAGCCAAGGGATAATGAGAAACAGAGGAAGAAAGTGACAGAGAGACGGGAGACCTATTCCGTGGAGGGGCCCTGAGCCACAGAAGTGGTGGGGGTGGAGTACAGGACCAAAGCGGTCAAGGAAATGCATGCAAAGACAAAACCAAAAGTCCTCTTACTCCACTGACCTACAGTGGGGTGACAGAACAGGAGGGGGACACAAAGGCGCCCAAATGGGTGCCTTTGGACATGGCGAAATGCTGAAATCGGAAAACGGGCCTGGGGGAAAGGCGAGGCTTGGAGAAAGTTTCTCAATATCACAGAGAAAAGAGGATCAGAAGGCAGGAAAGGGCTCTGTTTCCAGGAGGCCAAGTCAAAGTGGACCGGTAGCAGGGGATGCAGACCAGGCAGCGCCCCAGACACCACACCATTGCGCCCTTTCCCCCGGTTAGGCTGCTACACGTCTCTTCCACTCTTGACAGTCATCATGCATCCACCTGTCTGCCTGTTCTTGACAGAGGCCTCCTGAGTCACCGGGATCCCTGAGCGCACCCCCGCTCTGGGCGATGCTGCCACCTGGCGGCCAGACTCTGACCGCCTGAGTCCTACCAGGAATCCCACCTGACCTCCTTCTGCTGCTTGAGGACTATCTGCTTTTTGACCACAGTGGGCAAGTCCTTAACCTCAGTTTCCTAAACATGTCTTTAGCCTCAGTTTTTCTTTAATCAGAAAGGAAATGAACCAGCAACTCCCCACAAAGTTGCAAAGGGGAAGGGATTAATATCTCAATATCAATTATTGTCTCAATAATGGGGATGCTATGCTAGACTTTTCGCTCCCCAACCCAAGCAGCCTTTTACTGCCTTCATGGGCAAAGTGCAAAGGAATGCACCGTTTACATGACCCCACCAGCCCCGCCTCTATTCTGCTTGTTCCTTGGCTGTCTTTCTGAAATCTCTGCCTACCTCCCTTTGCATGCCTCTCATCTCTGGGCAGGTACAGCACCCCTCCTTTTGTGTAAGATAAAGGGGTGCAGGTAACAAGGAATAATTCAGCAGTCTTGAGCTGTTCTCTCAAATCTTTTATTTTAGAGATATTTTTAATCTGGGTGGTAGTGGCACACACCTTTAATTCCAGCCCTGGGAGGCAGAGGCAGGTGAATCCCTGAGTTCCAGGTTAGCCTGATATACAGAGAGAGTTCCAGGACAGCCAGGGCTACACAGAGAAACTCTATCTCCAAAAACATAATCAATAGCAACAACCAAAAAAAATCTACCTACCACCTGGTGGTGACCCATACCCAGAACTCAGAGGCAGAGGCAGGCAGATCTCTGTGAGTTTGAGGGCAGCCTGGTCTATGTAGTGAGTTCCAGGACAGCAAAGTCTACATAAACAAATCCTATCAGTCTGGCAGTGGTGGCACATGCACTTGGTTAGCCTGATATAACAACAACGACAACAAAAATCTACCCACCAGCCGGGCGTTGGTGGTGCACGCCTTTAATCCCAGCACTCGGGAGGCAGAGGCAGGTGGATCTCTGTGAGTTCGAGGCCAGGCTGGACCGACAGCCTCCAAAACAGAGAAACCCTGTCTCATAAAACCAAAAAAAAAAAAAATCTACCCACCAGCTGGTGGTGACCCACACCTTTAATCCCAGCACTCAGAGGCAGAGGCAGGCAGATCTCTGTGAGTTCGAGGCCAACCTGGAGTCCCAGGACAGTCTCCAAACCTACAGAGAAACCTTGTCTTGAAAAACCAAAAAAAAATTTTAGTTATTTCATTTTATGTTTGTATCTATTACACATATGTATTGCACCATGTGCATACCTGGTGCCCTCAGAGTTCAGAAGTGGGTGTTCTCTCCTGCTTGAGAGCCATCATGTATGTAGATGCTGGAAACCCAACTCAGATCCAAGGACAAGTGCTCTAAACCCCTGAGCCATCTTCCCAGATTGTCTCCCTCCCCCTTGTCCCCTCCCCCTTTTGTTCTTTTTCTTTCTTTCTTTTCTTTTCTTTTTTTTTTTTTTTTTTGTTTGTTTTTTTGAGAGAGGGTTTCTCTGTAGCCCTGGCTGTCCTGGAACTCACTCTCTAAACCAGGTTGGCCTTGAACACACAGAGATCCACCTGCATCTGCCTTCTGAGTGTTGGGATTAAAGGCGTGTGCCACCACCACCCGGCTTTGAACTCACTGAGATTTTCTGTCTTCTGGGATTAAAGGTTGGTGTCACCACACCCTGCTCTACTTAAATGCGGATCAGACTAGGGATTCCCACGGTGCTCTGGTACATCTGGTTTACTACTTAAATAAGCCCATCCCGCGTCCCAGTGTCTCAGACTTGAGCAAATTCAGCTCCTCACCACTTCTAGTCTACCTGAGCTCCCAGCTGGAAGCCTTAGTCTGGCCCAACTCAGGTGTGCTAACTCCGCCCCCATTCTGAGGCTGGGCCCCATAGGTGGAGGGAAGTTGTAAAGATCGTGCCCTGTCACTCCTTCCTTGGACACGGAAACTCAGTAGCCCCCTGCCAGAATGCCGGATGCCAGGTTCCTGGACCGCGCGCTCGCCTTGCTCGTCTGCCTGCTCTCCAATATCCAACGAGTAAGCACCAACCAGGTAAGCAAGCCTTCTGAGTCTTTTGGAGGACCGTATGGGTAGAGATTTGCCTCCCAGCCAGTCCCCGCCTTACCTTGTCAGGAATTCCTTGTAACCACTGGCAATTAGCAACTTCCTTTCTGTTTTGCTTGGGGAAAGTGGAGGTAGAGACCGCACCTTGGAGGGAGGCTCTGGAAACCTGGGCCCCTAGTCTTGCCCGAGTTGTGTTGTTAGTGGTATCTGGCTCCACCCACGGTCCTGAATGGGAACTTTGACCTCCATTCTTGTTGTATTTCTTACTTAGCTTCTCATCTGTAAGGCTGAGGAATCCGAGGTCTTGCTTGTGTGGGCTAGGCGGCTGTCCTGCCCTGTTTCTCCATGGCTCTCTCTGGGACTTCTCTTCATGTGTTCTAGGGAGGAGGAGGCTCTCTGGACTTCTTTGGTTCGTTGCAGCTTGTCGGAGCTGGGTGGCCTCTGACTTGGGTGGTTCAGGGAGGCAAGGTTTTGAGTGCTGCCGTTCCTCATATCCAAACTCTTTTAAGTGTCTCGGGTTGGCAGGTTTTCCTGCAAACTGAGAGGTGGTCAGAACAAGCCTTTTAAATTTACAATCTTGGTTGAGAATCTGTTGTGGGGTGGGGGTGACGTCCCAAGCCTGCTCCTCAGGACAGTTAAGATTCAATGGAATTGAAGTTCTCTGCCCAAGGCCATACATGAGCCCAGATTCAAGGCATTCTTTCCATTCTTAGACCCCAGCATCCTCTGATGACCCCTCTGTGCAGCCCCAAGTATAGGCATGGTCAATCTCCCCGTAAGAGCCAATAAATCCAGCTTGATATCCCACTCCATGCTTCCTAAAACTCAGGCTCCTAACCATCCCAGATCAGATAACCTGGTTAAGTTGGAAACTGGAATAATCCTGGTCCAGTTTATTAACCCTGCCATTATAGGATATGCTATGTAGATTGACTGATCTTGAACTCAACAGACATCTGTGTTTACTGCCTCAGCCCTGGCATTAAAAGTGGGCTGGGGTTTAAGGGGGGTGTGATCTCTGTTATAACTGCTTAAATGTAATACAGGAGAGGGTGGTGGCAGCTCACGCCTTTAATCCCAGCACTCAGGACACAGACAGGCAGATCTGAGTTCAAGGGCAGTCCTATCTACAGAGCAAGTTCCAGGACATGGGGCTACCAGAGAAACCAGGAGTGGGGAGTTGGCAGAGTCTGGTATTTGGAAGAGCAGGGGATGTGACTGAGTTCCTGGGTCCCCTGCTGTGTCTTTACTTCTTCCTATACCTGTCCTCACTAAAGAACAGTGCTGCTGTAAGCCTGTGACTGTCACTGCTTCCCTTGCCTTTACTCGGCAAATGAAGTGCTATTGTCATGATCTGACTTCCCATTTTTTATCTGTTGAGACAGGGTCTAGTCCTGGCTGCTCTAGAAATTGCTAGGTAGGCCAAGCTGGCCCCAAACTATAACATCTACCTGCCTCTGGTGTGCTGGGATTAATGATTACTACTGCTGGCAATGGTTGTCATTTTAAGTGAGGTAGTGGGAGAGAGAGATGCCTTGAGGACTTGTAGAGGAGAGTCCTGGTTAAGAACTTAGACATGATGGAATTCTGATAGAGGCTCTGAATTCCCAGCAAGTACCTGATGAATGGGGCTTGAGTGTGTTTAGGAAACTCCTAGAGATGCATCTACTTGGGACATGGAGTGTTGAGGGGAAGGGGCTTATGTTTCTTTCTGGAGGTTCTGGAGCTAGGTGGCTTCCTGGGCCAATCCCCAGCTGAGGGTATGGAAGGGGGGAATCACTTGGGAGCCAGGTAATAGTGTTCCACAGCAGTCTGGCGGTGGAGACAGGAAGACCTCTGAATTCCAGGCCAGCCAGGGCTACATAGTGAGACATGGAGTCATGCCTTTAATCCCAACCCTGGGGGTATAGGTGGACTCCAATCATTGACCCTGGACATGGAGCTGGAGAAATGTGTGAGACCAGCCCCTCTCTGGCATCCAGTCTGGCCTCAAACTATCTATCTAGCCTTGAATGATTCTCCTGCCTTCTTGGGTTCTGGGACTGTGGACATGCACCCCTATTCTGGTTTGTGCACATCTGATGTATCCCCATTGCTGGAAATTGAACCCAACACGTAGTGTGTGCTAGGCAGTCACTCTAAGAACTGAGACCCAACTCCCAGTTTTGAAGCTCTGACCACTGTCTGTTTTCTCCCACAGGTTATAATCAACTGCGACACCCTGTAAGTATGGGACTTAGGAGGGGGATGGAGGGAGGGTAGTGTGGTCAGATATGCCCTGGATAAGGGGACAGATACCTCCTCCTCACTCTTCCTACTTTTGCTGAAACCATACCCCCTCTCCTACCACCCAACATTGGGAACTGCATTATTGCAGGTCTGTAGCTGCTGTTAATCTCTTACTTTTCTGACCTGGAGCCCCATGCCTACCCTGTAAGATTTAGTAGCATGGTCATTCTGCCTGAGGAACCCTGAACTCCTTGGTCTCAAGTCCTCCCAATGTGTACCCCACACCCACCAAGGGTGGCTTGCAACCTGAGGGTATAGGTGTCTGGGGAGGCATGGACACTTTGTTCTGATATTTATGGTGCCCTCGGTGTCTCCCCGTCCCTGTCTGACTTGACCAGAAACTGCCCCATGGGATTCAAATGCTGTGAGAGTGGATGCTGCCCGGAGAAGAAAAACATATGGAATTCTTCAAACGACTCTTTAAGGTAAGCCCAGGGTCAGCCCTTCTGGGTACCATTCATTCACAGAAGGCTGAAATAGGCTGGGGGTGGGTGATGGAGAGTAGTATAGGCACTCAGGGCGATATCATTCCCTTCCCAGGATCTTGTTCATCGTCTTCCTGGTTATGATACCTCTGTTGTTCATCTGCGGCTTGGTGAAGCGCTTCTGTTGCAAGTGCAGAGAGCCAGAGCAGAACCTCAGAAGGAATCGTCAGATACCTCCAGAAGCACCTACCATTGCTCCCATAGAGATGATCTGGGTCACCACCTTGGATCCCCCACCACCCTATGATCAGGTAAGTCTTTCTATCTCAGTTCCTAATTTGTTTCATAGCTGGACATGCAACTTGTTGAAGTAACAGATTGGAGAGGGCTGCCAACCAAGTTCATCATTCCTTACCCGGGCCTAAAGCAAACTAAGTATGCTTCCCCCCCCCCCAGGTCATATTGAAGCCTGAAGAACCACCTCCTCCCTACAGCCTCAGGCCTGAGGACCCTGCTGGTCAAATGAGAGGCACTGACAGCACAGCCTTTTGAGCTACCTCACCACAAACTTTTTGGATCGAGCCCAGGACTTCGTAACTCTGGAATGACTCTCATCTTTGATTTAATTTATTGTTTTTCTCCCCCTGTCCCTCCCCAACTGCCAAGCTGGATTCATGGTCTCTGTCCCAACTCCGAAGCTAAAGACTGTTGAGGGTGCCTGTAGTGGGAAGCAGAGATCATTCTAGCATTCTAGTGGAATGCAGACCTTGACTGGACAGCTGGCTCTGCCATCCTACAGAAGCACTTCTGTGTCTGGGGGAGATAGGAGACTGAACTGCATGGACTCCAAACCACCTTCCAGACAGGACCCCACTGTACCTCCATAGCCAAGCTAAAGTTTCACTGACTGATCTCTGACCAGTTCTGAGGCTAAGCTCCTGCCAACTCCTTCCAATGGTGACTGAGTACGTTGACCATCTGCCTGGGAGGATTGTGCATCCTAGCTGAGAATGAATGCTTTGACCTTAAGATTCCTGGGGCCTGTGGGTACTAAAGAAATGGACTGGAGAGTTCCCCGGATCCGAGTCTCATCTCTGCTTTCTGGAAGACCAGAAATTGATAAGCATGGAACTCTTAGGGAGGTACAGGTCAGAAGGCAGGGTAGAAGCCTGGAGAGGCAGGTGTAGTTAAGACCATGGAGTGATGCCTACAGAATGCTTCCTTCCGGATTCCTTTCCAGAATTTCCTGGAGGGAGAAGGGTGCCAGACCCCACCCTGTTCTTCCTGCTGAGCAATAGGTGCCAGGCACTGTAGCCTAACCCCGCCCACAGCTAACCCCTAAAGGGAAGAAGACTGTCCTGTGGCTGAGGAGCTGAAGAAAGCTCAGTCCTGTGTGCAGTACAGCTTGGAGCTTCCACTTGCCCTCAGGTCAAGGCCAGCCTTCTTTTTCAGACACTAGAGAAATCCCACAGTTGGAGTTTTGACCTGCAGCAGGAGGTCACCTGCCTGTCACTGAAGATAGTGTACGGCTTTTAATTTCTCTGCAGCAACTGTGATGTGGCCTGAAGAGAGTGACTTTTCCCAAAGCTCGGTGCCTGCAATAACTTGTTTTTATTTTTAATGTTCATTGATGTTTGCCTCCTCGTGTGTATCTGTGAGGGTGTTGGGCCGCTTGGAACTGAAGTTTCAAGTTGTGAGCTGCCACATAGGTACCAGGAGTTGAACCCATGTCCTGGAAGAGCAGCCGGTGCTGTTCACAGCTGAGCCATCTCTCCAGCCCCTTGAATGGACTTCTACTGTTGGTGGGAACGGGAGAGGTGTCACCGTTTCAGAGGTGATCTTTCCTTTCATGTCACCGATATTTATAAAGCCAGTATTCTATGTCTAGCCTGGTATCCAGGATGAGGTCAGGTGCAATTCTTCAGATAAGTCTGCAGAGAGGCCTGTGCACTAAATCTCATGGAGATGTGTATCTCCTGGTGCACTGGACTGGGTGGGGTGTAGCTATGGTCCCCATCCATTGCCCTATGGAAGCTTGTTCTGAAAGACATGAGCACCCACACTGAACACCACCTGTCCCCTAAGCATGAAGAAGGACCTGCTGTGCCGACCTACATCATGTCTGCCATTTACTGTTGGGAGTAAAGGGGAGTTCAGGGCAGCTTTGGTTTGTAAATAAACTTCACCATTACATTTTAAAATGTGTGTGTGTTTCTCTACATAGAAGAGCCAAGTGCTGTGGTAGAGTCCTATCGTCTCAACTATTGCAGAATCTGAGCCTGGGTGACTTAGTTGAGATCTTATCTCAAAATTTAAAAGGGGGAAGAGGGGCTGGGGAATGTGGTAGCAAACTTTCCTAGACCCTGAGTTAGGTCCCCAGTTCCTGCCCCAACAATTCTAAAAGGATTTGAGCTGCTGGGAGCAGTGTGCTGGTGGTTAGGTATAGGGGTTGTTTTTCTTCTAGACAGTTTCTCTGTGTATCCCCCACTGTCCTGGAACTCCTGTAGACCAGGCTAGCCTCAAACTCAGATCTGCCTGCCTCTGCCCACCCCCAAGTGCTGGGATTAAACCATCACTACTGGTTTAGAATTTTATTTTTAATCTATATTAGTGTTGTGCCTGCATGTGTATCTGTACCAGTGTTATGCAGTACCCCAGGAGGCCAGAGGGGGCATCATCCCCTGGAACTCAGGTTCTAGTCAGTTAGAGCCACAGTGTGGGTGCTGGGAACTGATCCTGCCTGGGTCCTATGGAAGAGCTGCCCAGTGCTCCAAATGCTGAACCATCTCTCTAGCCCAAACTTCTGTGTTCTTTAGCATTGCTTAAGTTTTTTTCCCAGGGAATAAGCCTTGCTTTTTTATATTTGAGATGTGTTTTGGAAATGTATAGGCAGATGTAGAAATATCTGAAGGTCTGGGATATAGCTCAATGGCAGTGTGTTTTGTCTGGCTGTACAAGGCCCTGGGTTCAATCATTACACTGGAATAAAAAAATACTTGGTGAAACTTGATCAATTACAACTGGTAATTTTCAGCCCTGTTATAAAGACAGGAGCAAGTAAGACTGACAGGTGGCACACATGACATGTACATGACTCTGAGGAATAAACACGCAATAGACATGAAAAGGCCTGGATATCTGTGGACATAGGAAAGGCTTTTGAAGCTCATGTGCTCAGCCTCTGGGACTCGTGATGGGCTCTGGGAATAGACTGGGTGAGAAGCAGCCAGCTGCAGCCTGGCTACCCGGGGGCTGGATGAGCAACTTGCCAAGGAGTGAGAATTCATTCCTCATGGAGATTTAGCAACTCAAACTCATGAATGAATGATGAAAGATAGTAAGTGAACAAAGGAGGAAGAAAATGAATGAGGTCTTCCTCCGAGTGTTTGTTAGAACCTAGAAGCTCTTTGGACCACCATAAAGGAGTTCCCTGAGGATACTGAGGGACTGGGGGGACACACAGTGAGGAGCTAAGGGAGCATGCTCCTGGGACAGAGAGAAAGCTGCAGGTGCTGTGCAAGGGACGGAGTGATGACAGCAACACCTACTGTCATTACCCCACCCTAGAGCTGAGATTCAAGGCTCTAGTTTCTGCACCTAACATCATCACATCTCAGTTTTCTCATTTAAACAAGAAAGAGATGAGCCCCTTTCGATGTCTCTGGTAAGATATGCCTGCCTACCTGCCTTCCTTCCTTCCTACTCCTCTTCTTGGCTTTTTGAGACAGGGTTTCTGTGTGTAGCCCTGTCCTGGAACTGGCTCTGTATGTAGACCCGGTTGGCCTTGAACTTAGAGATCCGTCTGCCTTTGCCTTGGAGTGCTGGTATTAAAGGTATGTGCCGCCATACCAAGCTAGGATATACCTTCTGGCGCCATTTTGAGAAGGGCTGGGTGGGAGCATGTGACAGTTTGCTTAAACCCTGCAGCATTTCCTGGCCCTGTCTCCAGTTAAGTCAACTTGACACCAACTGGAGTCAGAGAGGCAAGAGCCCTGTGAGAAAATGCCTCCATTAACATCTGGCTGTAGGCAAGCCTGTAGGGCATTTTCTTAACTACTCATTGATGTGGGAGGGCCCAGGTCATTGTGGGTAAGGCTACCCCTGAGCTCAGGAGGCAGAGGCAGGCCGATCTCTGAGTTTGAGGCCAGACTAGTCTACAGAGCAAGTACCAGGACAGGCAGCAAAGCTACAGAGAGACCCTGTCTGGAAACAAGCCCCCCCCTAAAAAAAAAAAAAAAAAGGAAGAAAACGATCTAACCCAGGCGTGGTAGCATTTGCTTTAATACCTGCACCCGGGAGGCAGAGGTAGGTCTGTCTTCATGAGTACAAGGCCAACCTTGAATAAACTGAGTTCCTGGACTGTCTGGGAAGAGGGAAAGGGGAGAGAGGAAAGACAGAGAGAGAGGGAGAGGGAGAGAGAGAGAGAGGCACTGAGCTCAAGGCCTCTGCATCAGCTCCTGCCTCCAAGCTCCTGCCCTGTTTGAGTTCTTGTTCTGACTTCCTTCAACGATGATGATGTGGAAATGTAAGCCAAATAAACCCTTTCCTTCTTGCTGAGGTGGTGGTGCACACCTTTAGTCGCAGCACTCGAAAAGCAGAGGCAGGAGGATCTCTGTGTTCGAGGCCAGCCTGGTCTACAGAGCGAGTTCCAGGACAGCCAAGGCTACACCGAGAAACCCTGTCTAGAAACCTCAGTCCCCTGTCAGCTGCTCTTCTACGTCCTCTCCCCCTCTTCATTTCTCACACTCCGTTCCCACTCTTCCAGGACATAGCCACCCCGGGCACTGGTGGCCTCAATTCTGCTGAAGCCCAAAGTCCATTTCCCGATGTCGTCTCTCAGCATTGGATCCACATGCCAGTGTCCCTGCTCCAACAATTTCCCCACGCCTGTGTGGCTCTACTCTGCCTTCCTTCTCCCTACAACGCTGGCTGCATCTGCTAAGATTCGGTCACCTTTTCTCCTCCTCCGTCACCTCTGAGTGACAGTGGACCTGAGGCTCTATCTTCGGCTCTCTTGTCCTGATCTGCACTCACTCCCACAGTGCTGGTCATACTGCCTGTGACTTTGTTATAGAACTAATATGCCTTCCCGGGGAGAAATCACTCCGAGCACTTAGAGATTGATACAGGAAAACTGTAGTAATAGCGGGTGACTAGTTCTGGCTAATGGAACAAAAGGGAACCAGCCCTGACAGAAATTGTTGGCTAATAGCCTCAGATCATGAGGAATTGAGTCAGGCTGTATCAGGCAATCACCTCTAGCCTTATCATGTGTGCTCCACCTGTAGAAACATACACGGAGTTACTGAAAACAACCCACCCTGCTCCAGTCAAACCATAAAAAAAAAGCTGTAACTTCCTAGTATATTCCATGTCCATGTCCCCAGGCCTTCAGAGTGTACCCAGCCTTCATCCCAAGGGAATATTGGAGTCCCTCATTGTTCCCATAAAGCAGCCTCATTTGGTTGAAATTGAAGTCTGTCTGCTTCTCTGCCTTGTTTTTCTTACGGAAATCCCCATCAGTTTCGTGTGGAGACGCTAACCTTCAGTTATGTTAGAAGCACAGATTCTTTCTACCATTTCTGTTTGGTTTTTTCAAGACAGGGTTTGTCTGTGGCTTTGGAGGAGGCTGTCCTGGAACTCGCTCTTGTAGACCAGGCTGGCCTCGAACTCACAGAGATCCACCTGCCTCTGCCTCCCGAGTGCTGGGATTAAAGGCGTCAGCTGCAGCCACCACCTGGCCCTCTCTCTACCATTTTTTTTCTTTCTTTTTTTCTTTTTTTTTTTCGAGACAGGGTTTCTCTGTGGCTTTTGAGGCTGTCCTGGAACTCGCTTGGTAGTCCAGGCTGGTCTCGAATTTACAGAGATTCGCCTGCCTCTGCCTCCCGAGTGCTGGGATTAAAGGCGTGGGCCACCTACGCCCGGCTTCTCTCTACCATTTCTACCAGCTACTATACAATGTATCCTGTGTGCTCCTGTAGCAAGTTTGGTAGATCTTTTGTAACATCCGTTTGTTACTCTTACATCAGTTTCTCTACATCAGCTTCACAGATGTGTTTGGTCTGGTGAATTTGGGATCTTTGTCTCTGGTTAAGACTTCTCTGCTGAACTCCAGATGAACTTCTCCACACAGCACTTCCCCTTGGAGCCTCTGGAGGACCCCATGGCCAAAAGTGCATTCTGGCTTCCTGTTGCTCTTCCCCAATCCATTCTTCCTGATGTCTTCTTGCAGGTAGGCACTAACAAAAGTCTAGCTGTTCAGGTTGAAAACAAACAAAGCCAGGCATTTTCTGCCTTTTCTTTTCCTCATTCTCTCATTCCTCTCAGTAATACCCAAAGCAGACCCACATCTACCTCTCCCTATTTCAAGGTCACAGTCCATATAAGGTCATTCACTCCAGGCTATGCAAACAACAGTCGACAGGCTATGCACACGACTCTCCACAGGCTAGGCTAAGGACTCTCTCCTAGGTTTCTGCCTCTGCTGCTGTCTCCATCCTGCCCCCTGCAGTTCATGCCATGCAACTATACTACCTGTGATCTTTACTTTTGAAAAATTTGAGACATGATCACACCACTGGTAGCTTAGGCTGGCCTAGAACTCACAGTATAGCCCAGGACAGCAATAAACTCACAGAGATCCTCCTGCCTCAGCTTCCTGAGTGCTTGGATTATAGGTGTGGGTCACCAAGTCCCGCTGTCTCACCCCCCCCAACACACACACACACACACACACACACACACACACACTGCTGGAGATTGAGCCTCTGGCCTCAAGCATACTACAACTGAGATGCATTCCCAGCCCCCAGGGCAATCAATTCTTCCTTAGCATAAATACTGCACTCACTGCTCCAGTGCCCCACCCACACCTGGGGCATAGGGCACACCTCTGTCTGTAACTAGCAGGACTTAAGGTGAGGTCTCTCCCTTCCAGTCACAGTGACTTTCCACCCGGTGTCATGCTTCTTTCTCATCTGTAAGTATCTGGGATCACACCCCGCCTCAGGACATTTGATCTTTTAGATGAATTTGAATTTACTCCTGATGCTCACAAGTCTCCGTCTCCAGTGAATGTTCACAGAGGGGCCTTTCTTTATCACCTAGGCTCCAGCTCACCTGTTCCTCTCTGACACTGCAGAGGAAGGAGTCTCATCCCTTCCCTTCCTGAAATTGCCTGGTTTTGTATGTTTATGGGCTG